CTTTGTTTGAGCAGTGACTTGGGGTCAGTTAGAATTCGTGAAAATCAATTCTGAAATTTGAAAATCATTTCTCACTACAGGGGAACTTTTACATGTTTTACCAACAAGTACAAAATTACTTATATGGGTGCCTTTATAGTCCCAGATAAGCTGAATCAAATTAGGTTCTTATCTGATTCATGGGAGGCCCAACTCAATGTTTGGAAGTTTCACTGATAACACCTTTTTCTTCTTCTTTTTTACGTCAAGGCATTTCCTAGTAGCTTTGCCATACATATATACACCATTTCCACTTTTGCTTCTTCTAGTATATATTAACTTTTTTTATGTTCTTTTTATATTTTTAAGCAAAGTCAGCAGATTCTTCACAGTGGATTCAAATTTGAGGCCCTCAGAAACTACGGTTTTGAATTTTGTTTACTACAGTTTCAGTTTTGTTTGTGAAAAGATAGATAAATAAATAAGTAGTAAAACATAAAAAAATGTGATTTGTTTATTTATACCACTATAGCTTGTACATTTTACTGAGCAAATATTAAAGATTAGAGGTGTATGTGTGTCTATGAAATATTTACATAATTGGTTCACGTGAAGAAGATATAATTGATTACACTGAACTTAAATATTTATCCAGGGTGAATGAATAAAGGGTTAAATTATTAAACTTATGATTGGATCACTAACTGGCGGACCCAGGGGTGGGCCTGGGGTGCACGTGCCCCTCAACTTTGCCTTTTTAAAAAAAAAAAAGAAATTCTATGTTTTGTTTCAATTTTCTAAATCATTATAAGAAATCGAAATATTGCATTCTTAATATCATTTCGAAGTGCTCACAGTCTAGTTTTTATATCGTTAACGGCTTTCGAAAAGACTAACCGTAGCAAATGTTACAACTTGTCAAAGTAGGCGATTTAAAATTAGTATTTCGAGAATTTCGATAACAAGCAACTTTAAAAAATTTCCGACGATCGTACGGTAGTGGAATCTACAAATCGTTTATTTCATCTCAAAGCTCATTTCGAGGACTACATTATAGGCATATCGAATAGGTCAAATAGATATCGAAAATAGTTAAAGATGCGTCAAACGTACGTCGTAAAAAGAGGCGTCTAACTCGCATTTTTTCAAAAAATTTTAATTATTTCATTAACATTTATTATTTTTGTGATACAAATTTTTTAATGTAATTTGCATTAT